CAAGGACCTGCTGAGGATTTGGGCCTGAGCAAGAGTATCCCCCTTGGACAAAGTTTCGATGCACTAACCACTGGCCATATCCTTTCACCGGCCCTTCAGCCAGTAGGCCCTGTCCTTATAAGTGAGGCCAGATCATGTCTGGTCCCATGAATTAGGTAGCCGAGTGCTAAAGACTGCATACAGCCCATCCTCGGGGTCGGGGTGGAGGGCATCCTCCCTCTGGTTGTGGTCTACAATTAACACCCAGCGCCTGGGAAACTTGGAAAGACCGGAGCAGTAAAACAACACAAACGGTGGATATGGTAGGGAAAACGCTCGGGGCCAGCCGGGAATCTACCACCACATTCTAAGCACTGGGCAGAGGACTTCGCCACAGCCCTTCATCTCTCGGGCGCCTCTCTGAGTCTACGTCACAGTCCTGTTTAGGAATGTATAACTGCTCCTCGTGTTTCACAGGTTGAACCCAGCCACATCATACTTCCTGGCAGCGAATCCTCTAGACAGCCTTAGCATCCCAGGGCACAAGTCCTCTTAAACTATGCCCAAGCAGCCACTTCTTCCTAATGGCCTGATATTTGATTGAAAGGCTGCATTTCAGAGGAGTTTTGGAAAATTTTTGTTAGTGCCAGCCCCACCTCTCTTCTGACTCATTCTGTACACACAAGAGGCAGCCCTGTACCAAGCACTATTTGAGACCAGACCAGTAGCACCCTGGAGGTGACCTCCTTGGCATCCGGCTGTCCAGGCCTGGGCCTTTTTCCCCAGCTCCTGTGGACAGCAGGCAGTGCAGGCTGCCACTGCCAGCCTGTCTTGGTGAGAACGCAAACTGGTTCACTTGTTTTCCAGGACAATCTGGCAACTCCTCCTAAAATTTTAAACAGTCATGCCTTTAGATCCAGCAACTTTAGTCCAAGAACTTTAGAATGGAAACACTTGAATGAACCTGAAACATCACGTTCACAGAAATAAACACTTGAACAAAGGTGCATAATAAATGAATAAGGATATATCTCCTGTAGTCGGATTTGTGGTAGCAAATAATTGGGAATAACCTCAATGTCTTCCAGCAGGAAAGGGTTAAGTAACCACTGATACAGCCATATAAGGGTATGCCTTCTGGCTAGCACTGTTAACTCTTAGGATAAACAATGGAAAGCCACAAACCAACATAAACAGATGCCTAGGGTATATCACTAAGTGACAATGAACCTATTGTGGATGATCCCATTTCAGAAATACAATGATGACCAATAAGTACATATACCGGTGCCACAGCTAATAGGCTAATCCTCCGCCTGCAGCGCCGGCACACCAGGTTCTAGTCCCGGTCGGGGCGCCGGATTCTGTCCCGGTCGCTCGTCTTCCTGTCCAGCTCTCTGCTGTGGCCCGGGAAGGCAATGGAGGATGGCCCAAGTCCTTGGGAGACCAGGAAAAGCACCTGGCTCCTGGCTTCGGATCAGCGCGGTGAGCTGATCGCAGTGCGCCAGCCGCAGCGGCCATTGGGGGGTGAACCAACGGAAAAAAGAAGACCTTTCTCATTGTCTCTCTCTCTCACTGTCCACTCTGCCTGTCAAAAAAAAAAAAAGTACATATACGGTCATATACATAAGGGGAAAAACTCTGAAGTAACTGTCAATGATGGACTTTAAGAATGAGACCAGGGGTCTGCGCTGTGGCACAGTGGGTTAACGCCCTGGCCTGAAGCGCAGGCATCACATCTGGCTGCTCCACTTCCAATCAGCTCTCTGCTATGGCCTGGGAAAGCAGTGGAAGATGGCCCACGTACTTGGGCCCCTGCACCCGTGTGGGAGACCCGGAAGAAGCTCCTGGCTCCTGGCTTCGGATCGGAGCAGCAACAGCCATTGCAGCCAATTGGGGAGTGAACCAGTGGATGGAAGACCTCTCTCTCTGTCTCTGCCTCTCCTCTCTCTGTGTAACTCTGCCTTTCAAATAAATAAATAAATCTTAAAAAAAAAAAAAAATGAGACCAAAAGGAACTTGCATTTTCATTATTATTATACTTTTTTTTACAAGCCTAATTATTTTTTAGAAGCTAAAAGGGAATTGAAGATTGTTTTAAATGACTTCCTTTATGCTTCCCTTTCTACATGCGCAAGCACTTAAATGTGAGCTCCCCAGAGCCTGCTGGGTTTTCTACAAACTGCACCTTCAGCATCAAACCCCGGAGTCTCCTGTCGTCCCCAAGCTTGGCAGCAACACAAGACTAGACCACAAGGGGCTGGATGGACAAGCAGATGCTGGCCACACAGTTCAGCTAGGAGGAAAAAGTCAAAGATATCAATTGTACCACATGGTAACTATAGCTAGTAACATGGTACCATCCACTGGAAAGCTGCTAAGAGAGTAGATTTTAAGTGTTCTCACTTCACAGAAGTACGTGAGGCAACGCACAAGTTACTCAGCTTGATTTAGCATTTCATAATGTGCACATATTTCAAAACATCACATTGTGCACCACAAATTTAAAGATACTTTTAAAAAATTCATGGAAAGTGGAATTAAAAGATACTGAAGTGTAGGCATTTGGCCTAGCAGTAAAGATGCTGGTTAAGATGCCACTGTCAGGGATGGTGTTGTGGCACAGCATGTTACGCTGCTGCCTGCAATGCCAGTATCTGACATGGATGCCGGTTCGAGTCCTGACTGTTGCAATTCTGATCCAGCTCCCTGCTAATGCACCTGGGAAATCAGGTGAAGATGGTTCCAGGACCCCTGCATTCATATGGGAGACCCAGATGAAGCTCCTGGCTCCTGGCTTCAGCTTGGCCCAGCCATGGCTGTTGGGGCCATTTGGGGAGTAAACCAGTGGATGGAAGATCTCTCTCTCTGTATCTCTTCCTCTCTCTTTCTATGTAACTCTTTTTTTTTTTTTTTTTCTCTTTTACAGGCAGAGTGGACAGTGAGAGAGAGAGACAGAAAGAAAGGTCTTCCTTTTGCTGTTGGTTCACCCTCCAATGACCACCGCGGCCGGCGCACCGCTCTGATCCGATGGCGGGAGCCAGGTACTTCTCCTGGTCTCCCATGGGGTGCAGGGCCCAAGCACTTGAGCCATTCTCCACTGAAATCCCTGGCCACAGCAGAGAGCTGGCATGGAAGAGGGGCAACCGGGACAGAATCCAGTGCCCCAACCGGGACTCTTTCAAACAAATAAAATAAATCTTTTTTTCAAAAAAAAAGATGCCAATGTCCCATATCATAGTGCCTGGATTTGAGTCACAGCTCTGGCTTTCCTATGGCAGACGCTGGGATAATAACTTAAGTGGGTGCATGGGTTCCTGCCACCATGTGGGAGACCTGGATATAGTTCCCCACTCCTGGCTTTAGCGTGGCCCAGCTCCAGCTATTGTGGACACTTGGGGGAGTGAGGCAGTGACAGGAGCTCAGTCTCTCTTTCCCTCTCTGTTGTTCTGCCTCTCCAATTAAAATTTATGTTTAAAAAAAGGCAATGAGGGCCGGCGCCGCAGCTCACTAGGCTAATCCTCCACCTAGCGGCACCGGCACACCGGGTTCTAGTCCCGGTTGGGGCGCCGGATTCTGTCCCAGTTGCCCCTCTTCCAGGCCAGCTCTCTGCTGTGGCCCGGGAAGGCAGTGGAGGATGGCCCAAGTGCTTGGGCCCTGCACCCAATGGGAGACCAGGAGAAACACCTGGCTCCTGCCTTCGGATCAGCACGGTGCGCCAGCCGCAGTGCACCAGCCGTGGCAGCCATTGGAGGGTGAACCAACGGCAAAGGAAGACTTTTCTCTCTGTCTCTCTCTCACTATCCACTCTGCCTGTCAAAAAAAAAAAAAAAGGCAATGAGCATTTTCCATAAACTTATTGAAGAACCTTCATATATACAATTTTATGTCAACTTTAATAATATTAATTGGGGCTAGCACTGTGGCATAGTTGGCTAAGCCTCCACCTGTGATGCCAGCATCTCATATGGTCGCTGGTTCATGTCCTGGCTGCTCCTCTTCAGATCCAGCAGCTTATGGCCTGGGAAAACAGTGGAAGATGGCCCAAGTACTTGGACCCCCGCACCTGCGTGGGAGACCCAGAGGAAGATCCTGGCTCCTGGCTTCAGATTAGCTCAGCTCTGGCCATTGTGGCCATTTGGGGAGTGAACCAGCAGATAGATCTTTCTCTGTCTCTCCTTCTCTCTGTAACTCTGACTCTAAATAAATAAATAAAATCTTTTAAAAATTAATAATAATAATTAATAAAAGAGGGGGAAAAAAGGGGAGAAGCAGCAGCTTTGTCCAGGCCACACCCACAGGCTCCAGGAGCTGCCCGGGGTACTGCATGTTCTGGTCACAACTTGTGGAAGTCCCAGGAAGGACACCACACTCCTTCTGCCTCTGGAAATTGGTCAGACACAGCCCTCTTTCAGACAATTCGGCACAGAGGAGCTGAAGTGGGAGGCTGAAGTGGGAGTTCAGAACCACAGACCCAGGTTTTCTCTCTCCAAGAATTCCATTAGCAAAAAGACTTAGGCATGACCTCAGGGAGTTCTAAATTAGCCACTGAGGTGCCTTCTGCCAAGACTCTAGAACGCTCTTGTAAAGCAAAACTTGTCAGACTTGATTTTTACAGCAGCACCTCCCTTTTCTTCCCAGAGAAATTCTGACATGGGATGTCAAGTTATTAATTAAAGGAGAAACTTCCCCAGTGAAGGGGGAGGAAGACAGAAGCAGACAGAGGTTTCTCATTCATACTTTGCTTTGTCCACCTTGCAACCCCTGAGCCACCAACAGACCGAGGCCCAGAGGTAGGACAACTTGTCCAAGCCAGTCAGCGAGCTGATGGAAAGCTGGAGGAGCTGTGAGCTGGATGTAGGCGTCTCAACTTCAGACCACAGCTCTTTTCACTTAAGGGTTTGTTGTTGTTGTTGTTTTTATATGCATGTAACAGAAATTTAGGTAGACACACACACAAGAATTATAGTTGCATGGGGAAATATCTGAGTAGAACAGAGTTGCTGGATGCTGCAGGGGACCAGCAATTTTGCTCCCCATTGTTTGAGTTCCTTAGGATGAGCCCTGTACTACCTCAGTCTTTCTCTGCCTGAATACCTGAACACCTTCACTAACGGAATCAGGTAACAAGGAAAGAGTCTTTTTTTATGGGAACATGACAGAAAACCAGAATAGAAGACTTCTCGTGAGTTCTTTTTTCAGAGATGCTACCACAAATTTTAAAAGGTAGAACCCTTTTCACCAAGATGGCGCCGAAGGTGAAGAAGGAAGCTCCTGCCCCTCCTAAAATCGAAGCCAAAGCGAAGGCCTTGAAGGCCAAGAAGGCAGTGCTGAAAGGCGTCCACAGCCACAAGAAGAAGAAGATCTGCACGTCCCCCACCTTCCGGCGGCCCAAGACACTGCGCCTCCGACGGCAGCCCAGATACCCTCGGAAGAGCGCCCCCCAGAGAAACAAGCTTGACCACTATGCCATCATCAAGTTCCCCCTGACCACAGAGTCGGCCATGAAGAAGAGAGAAGACAACAACACACTGGTGTTCATTGTGGATGTCAAGGCCAACAAGCACCAGACCAACCCAGCTGTGAAGAAACTCTATAACATTGATGTGGCCAAAGTCAACCCCCTGATCAGCCCTGACGGAGAGAAGAAGGCGTGTGCGCTGGCTCCTGACTATGATGCTCTGGACGGTGCCAACAAAACTGGGATCATCTGAACGGAGTCCGGCTGGCTAATTCTAAATATACGTTTTTTCACCATAAAAAAAAAAAAAAGTAGAACCGCCCTAGGTTTACTTAACAGCCTGTGGCTCCAAGGATTGTGACACAGCGCATGTGGCCACAAAACAGTCGTTGCCCTTAGGACAAAGAATAACAAAAGTGTTGATTGCTGCAAAATCCTGTCCAATATTCTTTAGTCTGTAACTAGTAAACATGTGGAAATCGAATGACCTATCTGCGGCCCAAATGCATCTGTCCAAGCAGAAAGCACAGAAGTAGAAGCTGGACATCACCTCCGCGGCTCACTCGATGCGGCCCCCTGCTTTCTGTCTCAACACCAGAGGGAGACTGAACAGGCCTCAGGTAACCTCTTAAGAGTTCCTGGTATAGCAGCAATCACAAATGCACTGTGCTAAGAGAAGAAACCAGACTTGAAAGCCCACATGCTTCCTGGTTTCATTTATGTGCATGCTACAAAACAGAAAGGAAACGATCAGTGTTTGCCAGGGCGGAGGGGTGGGGATAGGGAATCAATGACAAAGGAACTGGACAGAAGTTCCTGGGATCATGGAACTCCCTGTATCCTTACCATGGTGGCACTTACCTGACTCTGTGTTTGTCAAAACTCAAAGAGCTGCACACCTAGCAAGGCTGGCTGTGACTGCACGTTACACCTCGGTACTCCCACCTTTAAAAACCGAGGTTCTGAAACACTGCATGAGAGAAGGGCAGATCTGATCACCTTTGCTGCAGAGTCGCACGTCTCAATAAAGGCCAGCAGTTTAAAGGCAGCAATGGGCAGGTGCCCTAAGCAGTGTCACTTCCCTGCTCCTATATTTACTCCCACAAGTGGCCTGAGCTCCAGCGGGCACAAGGATCTTCCTGTTGCAGAAGGGCCAGGGCTGGGGAGAAGGGAGACGAGGCGAAGGGTGAGGCAGCACGGCAGCTCTGTGGGCAGCAGCGAGGGCTGGGCTAAGCCAAGCGGTTTCCCCCCGAAGCTGCTCCGTCACTCCCGCAGCTCATTATCTGTCTGCTGGTTCAGGAGTGGTGCTTCCTGTGGGCACGCTTCTCCAGCTATTCCTGCCAACAAGGGCAGGAGGCTTCCTGGTGCTGGGTGGGGATGATAACCAGAGAGCCTGAGTGGGGCGGGAGGTGTGAAGGATTCCCTGGTAGGACATTCTAGAGTCATTCCAGCTCCCCCTCCTCCCAGTGTTGCCTCCTTGGCCCAGCTCAGGGTCTCCCCAGGAGGCCTCTGCCACTCCTCACCTTTGGCCTCACACAAGTCTGAGGAGAGTGAGGTGGTCTTGGTGGATGTTTGGAAGGGACACTTCCCAGAGGCTCCTTGAGTTTGCAGCACCCTCAGGACAGAAGTCCAAATGCCCAGAGCACTCATGGTCTCCTCTGCACTTTAATCCTCACAGCCAGCACTGTGGAGCAGTAGGTTATGCCTCTGCCTGTGGTGCTGGCATCCAATATGGGCGCCTGTTCGAGTCCCACCTGCTCCACTTCTAATCCAGTCCCCTACTAATGGCCCGGGGAAGCAGTGGAGGATGGTCCAAGTCCTTGGGCTCCTGCACCTACATGGGAGACCTGGAAGAAGCTTCTGGCTCCTGGCTTTGGATCGGCGCAGTTCCAGCCATTGCGGCCATTTGGGGAGTGAACAAGCAGATGGAGGATCTCTCTCTCTCTCTCTCTCTCTGTAACTCCGCCTCTTAAATAAATAAATCTTTTAAAAAATCATAATCATAACCGCCCCACACACCATGCCCAGCTGGAGCGCTTGAACTTTTATGAGTGAACACAACTATTGGGTTTCTTAACGTGAGAGACCTCACCTCTGAGGCCTTTTCACAGCATCCCACAGATATTGATTCTGTGGCCAATGGGCCAGGCACTGGGCCTAGGGTGTTGTACAAAACAGACTTGGGAGGTCTGGCGCTGCGGCACAGCAGGTATAGCTGCCACCTGCAGTACCAGCATCCCGTATGGGTGCCAGTTAGAGTCCTGGCTGTTCCACTTCCAATCCAGCTCTCTGCTATGGCCTGGGAAAGCAGTAGAAGATGACCCATGTCCTTGGGCCCCTGCACCCACGTGGGAAACTCGGAGGAAGCTCTTGGTTCCTGGCTTCAGATCATCCCACCTCCAGCCATTGTGGCCAACTGGGGAGTGAACCAGTGGATGGAAGATCTCTCTCTCTCTCTCTCTCTCTCTCTGCCTCTCTCTCTCTCTTTCTTTCTCTGTCTCTCCTTCTCTCTGTGTGTAACTCTTTCAAGTAAAATAAATAAACATTTTTAAAAAATACAGACTTGGCCCCTCCTCATGGAAACTGTGGCCTCATGGACACCTTTTACCTTCCTCTCCTCCCAGACCCGGCACTTGAGGTTTTCTCACGGGTACAGCAACTGTCCAGACCTCTCTAGCACGCTGCTCCGTGGCTTCTTCTGTGAAACCTTGCTGGGTTAGAGAGGCTGAGATGTGCCATACCACCAAATAGTTGAAATAAAAGGCCCCTCCGCACATAGGTGTGGGGAAAGGGACTCCATCAGTCTCAGTCTGGGAGCCTGCATTGTGCACACCCACGAGGCAGTCACCTCTCTTCCCTGCGATACCTACTAACACCACAGACAGGAAGAATAATGAAGAGTAGTTGCCATCTATTGAGTACTTATTTCATGCTGTTGTCACTTTTTAAAATTTTTATCCATTTCATTTATTGGAAAAGCAGAGAGACAGACAGAGATTCCCCATCTGCTGGTTCTCTCCCCAGACAGATGCCGGCATCAACCAGAGCTGGGCCAGACTGAAGCCAGGAGCCCAGAACTAAACTCTTCCGAGTGGGTGGTAGGGACCCAAAATACTTGAGCTGCCACCTGCTGTCTCCCAGGACGCACATTAGCAGGAAGCTGGGATGGGAAGCAGAGCAGAGACCTGAAGCCAGTCTCTTTGATATGGGGTGTGGACGTCTCAACAGCACCTTAACCACTGGGCCAAATGCACGTGGTCACAGTGAGTCCCTACAGCCATGGAAGGATTGATTTCTCCACTTCACAGGTGAGGAAACAGGATCCAAGAGATTAGGTCACACAGCCAGTAAAAGGCAAGGCCAAGAATCAAACCTGCACCCTCCTGGCCTTAAACCGGGTCCCTTTCCGCAGCAGCAAACCTCTCTCCCGGGGTTCCCGCAGCGCACTTTAGCTATAGAGTTTCCAAGAAGTAAACTCCAGCAGAGAAATCAGCACCTACCTCACAACCAATCAGCCTGCAGTTACTGTCTAACTACAGGGAAGCCACAAACTCCAACGCTTTTCAGGTGAACCTAAAAAGACAGCCTCTGTACATAAACCAAAAACTCAATTCGATCCTCAAACCTCTTCTCCCAGCACGAGATGCTCCTACCCTAGGACAGTCTCTCTGCGCCACCCCCACCCAGCTCTCTGTGTGTCCCCTCACCCTGTGTGCCCCTCCAAACAACTTTTCTACACTCCTACCCCCTGCCTCCACGGGGATCTGATGACACCTGGATCCCTGCAAACCAGCACTGGGGTGGGGGATATAAAGGTAACAGAAACTGCTTTCCCTGGGCCCTCTTTCCCCAGAAGCCTGACCATAGAGGCCCTGCTGTTAAGCACTCCTCCACCCTGCCCCTCAGAGAGAGTCCTGGGCTAGCCCCGCACAGCCCATCCTGGAATCACCCCAATGGCACAACGGATTCTTGAGTGGATCTCCCAAAGGCTCTTGAACACAGACCCGGTTGTGCCAACGCAGTGGTCTCCCACAGGGGTCATGACAACTGGGTGAATCAGACCAACACCAGACAGAGGTGGGGAAGACACCGAAGAGACATCAAAGTAGCATAAGCCTTCGTCTTCACCAGCCCTGAGCCAAGGGCGGCGCCAGGTCACTTCTATGGTGCTGCATCACTTCTAACTGTCAGAAAGGAACGCTTGTACTCACTGTTCACAAAATATGGCTGGAAGCAAGCATTCTCTGTGCAGGAGACAGCCGAGTCGCCCCTGGATCCCAACCCCTCACCAACAGCCAGCAGCACCTGCCCCAGGCTCTACCATCTCCCAGGCAGGACCTGAGCACCCTCATCTCTGGGCCATGGCCATCAGCTGCTCAGGGCAGTACAAGCCCTCCGCCGACCTGGGTGGTCCCTCTCAGCAGCAACTGAAAGATGATGGAGACATCCTTGCCCAGACCAGCGGCACACTGACGTCTACACATATTTGGAAGACTTGAAGGCAGTCATCAAAGCATTTCTGAATAGTTTATCTTTGAAATCAACTTACCCATAAATCTTACCCTTTAAAAAAAAAAAAAAAACCTTCTGCAGGACCTACATTGTACATCATTGAAGAACAGGTGTGCACTCTGCAGAAGCGGGGCCAGAGTCCCCATCCCCGAGCCCCCACTAGGCAAGATCACCAAGGGATCCAGAGGCGCCACGGGCAGCACCCCAGGACTGGGCTCGCCCTCTCCCTTCGGCCCCGTCCCACACCCCGGAGGCCCAACGCTGACCGCCCTGGCAGCTGTGACGGCGCGCCCAGCAGGAGAGACAAAGCCAGGGGTCCACGCCAGCCCAGGGGACCCTCTGTCGTTGGCGATGTTTCGGGTGCAGAAGCAGAAGCAGCGCTGACACCCAAGGACTGTGGAAAGAGCCCTCGTGCTGCTCCAAAACGCTCCCGGCGGGGGGCCAGCGACTGAAAACACACGGGACAAGGGTGACACCCGGAGAAAGGAAATGTCCAGCAACCCAAGAAGCCGCGCGCCTCCGCTCTCACGGAGAGGTCACAGCCACATCGCTCCGCCTAGGCGCGGGCACAGCCGCGGGAAGCCCCAGCTCGCCTCAGCCACCCGGGTCTTGCAGTCCTGCGTCGCCGGGACCCCACCCCCGCGACGCGCGCAGCCGGGGCTGAACTCGCGGGGCTCGGAGATGCGCACTCCGCGCCACAAACCCGGGCCACCGGGGAAAGCGCTCACGCGGGTCGAGGGCTGCAGCATCCCAAGGGGGCCGCCCCCGGCACCCGGCGCCTCTCAGCCCTGCGACCGCGGGGCCAGCTCCCAGCCCCTGAGGCCCGCGTCGGGACCACCGCGCGCCCCGGCTGCCCGGCTCCCGGCGTGCGCGGCTGGCGGCGGCGCAGGAGCCTCACTCACCTCCGACGCCGACGCCCGCCAGCGCCCCAGCGCCAGGACAGCGGCCCAGAGCGGCCGGGGCCGCGCGCGCGCTCGCATCTCGTCCGCCGCCCGCCCCACAGTGAGCAGCGGCGCCCGCGGCAACTTTTCCCGCAGCGGGAGGGGAGGGGACGCGGTGGGTGGGACGCGACGGGGCGGGCCGCCGCCTCGCGCTTCCTCCCTAGGCCCCTCTCGGCACCCTGCGCGCCCGGGGCGGTGGGCAGCCGCGGCTCCTCTTCCCCGAGCCGGCCGGGCGTCCGGGTGCCAGGGTCCGCGCCTGGGCGCTCGGTGGCTTGAAAAGGCGGGGAGCCGGGAGCAGCTTTGCGGACCCCTTTGGGGCTGTGGCCTCAGAGACACCCACGCGGCTTTCCCTGGAGCCCTGGGGCGTTTCCCCGGCGTCATTCATTCGCACTGCCGTGCGCTTGATGGACAACCCTCTGTTGAATGCCTTCTGCGGGCTGGTTCGGGTTTTCTCGGGTGAGTTCGGTTTCCGGTAGACTGTGACCCTCTTGAGGACAGGGCGGCCCCTCGCAGCTGCCTGGGCCATGGCAGGGCCGTGAAGGGCTGCGCAGAGCTGGTGTCCCTCTTGGCCGCACCCGCAGGCTTTGGAGTTTTGTCTTTTTCTCAAAGGCCTCTTGCATACCCCCCACACACACACACTCAGCCCCCCCCCCTTTTCCCAAGCCTAGAAACTTCTGGAAGCTCAGAGGGACAAAATACTATGGCTGTGAGCAGCAGGCCCCCAGGAAGTGGCTAGGACGTGCAGCCTGTAGCGTGGGTAGACATGATTATAATTTTTTTAAAAAAGCCAAGGGCTGTGAGACACAGCAAGACAAATGGCACATGATCTCACTCATTCGTGGGATCTAAAACCGGCGATCCCGTACAAGCTTGGGGTAGAATGGTGTTTGCCAGAAGCAGGGAAGAGTGGGAGGGAGAGACAAAGAAAGGTTGATAAGAGAACCAAGTTCTTGTGTTCTGTTGCTCAACAGGGTGACTACGGATAATGATAACGCAACACAAACATATTTCCAAAGAGCCGGAGGCAGGGGTTTTGAATGTTCCCGTCATAAGAAATGGTGTTTGCAGAGATAGATATGCTTACCCTGATTTGAACATCACACAATGTACACAGGTATCAAATTACCACAAAGTACCCCAAAAATACGGAGGTGCTTCCAAAAAGTTCATGGAACAATTGAAAGATAAGCTTGGGCTTTTTGCCACATCTACTGCGAGAATGAAGACCATTCTCAGCAATCAGACGGTCGACATCCCAGAAAATGTCGACATCAGTCTGAAGGGGCGCACAGTCATTGTGAAGGGGCCCTGAGGAACCCTGCGGAGGGACTTCAATCACATCAATGTGGAACTCAGTCTCCTGGGAAAGAAAAAGAAGAGGCTCCGGGTTGACAAATGGTGGGGAGATAGAAAGGAACTGGCAACTGTTCGCACGATCTGTAGTCACGTACAGAATATGATCAAGGGGGTTACACTGGGCTTCCGTTACAAGATGAGGTCAGTGTATGCTCACTTCCCCATCAACGTGGTTATTCAAGAGAATGGGTCTCTTGTTGAAATTAGAAATTTCTTGGGTGAAAAGTACATCCGAAGGGTTCGGATGAGGCCAGGTGTTGCCTGTTCAGTGTCTCAAGCCCAGAAAGATGAATTAGTGCTTGAAGGAAATGACATTGAACTTGTTTCAAATTCAGCTGCTTTGATTCAGCAGGCAACAACAGTTAAAAATAAAGATATCAGAAAATTTTTGGATGGTATCTATGTCTCTGAAAAAGGAACAGTTCAACAGGCTGATGAATAAGACCTAAAAGTTATCCGGCTGCAGAAACAAGAACCCAGATTGTGTCTTGTGGTATTTTAATAATGCAATAAAAGATTATTGATTTGAAAAAAAAAAAAAGATAAGCTTGGGGCCAGCTTTGTGGCATAGCTGATAAAGCCACCACCTGCAATGCCAGCAGCCCATGTGGGCATCCGTTGCAGTCCCAGCTGCTCCACTTCTGGTCCAGCTCCCTGCGAATGGCCTGGGGAAAGTGTCTGGGCCCTGCCACCCACCTGGAGATGGAAGAGAGTTCCTGCCTTCTGCCTTCTGCCTTCTGCCTGGCCACTGCAGCCATCTGGGAAGTGAACCAGTGGATGGAAGATCTCTCTCTCTCTCTCTCTCTCTCTCTCTCTATGTGTGTGTGTGTGTGTGTGTATATATATATATATATCGCTCTGTGTCTTTCCCTCTCTCTCTGAAACTCTGACTTTCAAATAAACAAATTTTTTTTAAAAAAAAAGCTTATTTTGATGAAAAGAACTGAAATCCATATGAGGAGTGTTCAGAAAATTGATGGAAAATGTGTACTATAAAAAAAAATCTGTGCATGGACTTCAAAACAATTTTGCACCAAAATAAACTTACCTTTCTCTAAAAGGCAGAGAGAAAGAACCCCTTTTAATTTGATATTTATGAACTTTTTGAGTATTCTTATATGTATAATTTTTATGTGTTGATTAAAAATTGAAAAATAGATAAAATTAAGAACAAGGACTGAGACATCCGTGCAGAGGGGACCTGAAAATCTCAAGCTCCTAGGCTTCCCTAGAGGATTTCAGACTCCTCCTGGGCTTCCTTGGGGCCTGACAGCTGGCCCTGACCCACCTCTCCAGCCCCATCTCCCACCACAGCCCAAGAAGGTACTTGTCATTCCCAAATGCTCCATGCTTTCCCGTCTGACTAATCTTCCTTCCTTTTTCCACTGGGAAAATTCCACCTATCTTTCAAAACATGCCAGGCGTCATTTCTTCCATGCACTTTTGTCTGCCACTGCCCCCCTCCTCCGGCCCTGCCCTCTGCAGAGATGGGCGCTTCTTTCTCAGGCTCGAAAACACTAGGAGACACCTTAATAGCAGCACACATCAGCAAGAAGTGCCACCAGCGATTCCCCAGGGACCAGGAGACGAGCCAGCCTGCAAAGGAGAGCTGGGCTCTCCAGCCACGTGGAGGCTCTAGGCCAGCAGCCACTTCAGCGGTGTGGTCAGTGTCCTGGAGCAAAATTCAAGCCACATAGCCCGGTTGCATCTCTGCCTAGGTATTTCCCCATTGGCTGACTGCCCTTATCCATATCCAGTCTCCAGCCACCTAGATGTCTCCTCAGCCCAGCCCTATTGGCACCAACAACCGGGGGTGGGCGCTGGCCCCAGCAAACTCTCCCATCCCAGCCCAGGCCCCAGCAGCGTAGCCCCAGGCTGTGCAAGTGAGGCCGGCGGAGCTCCCAGCCCAGGAAAGGGAAAGGGCCGCTCCGCTGAACTTAGCTAGCAACTGCTGGTTGTGTTCATATCCACCCTCTTTTTATTTGTTCCATCTATTCAGTTGCTGGTTCTCCTTTTCTGCTTTCTTTTGGAATAATCTCTTTTCTCCCCACTACTGACTTTTTAAAATTTATTTATTTTTTATTTTGAAAGAGAGAGAGAGAGAGAGATCTTCCATCCTCTGGTTCACTCCCCAGATGGCCACCATGGCTGGAGCTGGGCCAGGCCCAAGCCACAAGCCACAAGCTTCATCCGGGTCTCTCACATAAGTGGCAAGGACCCAAACACTTGGACCATTTTCTACTGTTTTTCCCAGGCACATTAGAAAGGAGCAGGACTGGAAGTGGAGCAGTCAGGACACGAACTAGCATACCTGCAGGTTGCACATAAGGCAGCTAAACCCACTATGCCACAACACTGGCCCCTGCTAACTTTCTTGATATAGCTCCTCTTTGTGGGGTGTTATGTGTGTGTGTGCGTGTGTGTGTGCATACACACGCTCTAGAGATTACAATATGCACCCTTAATTTATCATACATAGTTTACCTTGAATTATTCTTGTACAATTTCATGTAAATTATAAGAACCTTATAACTGTATAAATCCATTTACAGAATCCTATTTTCTATGCTGTTATCATATATTTTACTTCTAAGCACGTAGCAATTCACAAAATAATATGTTTTTTTGCTTCAGTAGTTGCCGCCTAAGTGAATGAACACAGGGGACTAGTGGTGGCCTTTTAGGTTCCGCCAAGTGTTTCCCTCTTCTGTGCTCTGCTCCGTGTCCCGCGGCTCTGGGTCTCCATCCGGCTCCATTGCTCTTTAGCCTGAGCTACTACCTAGCACGAATCTTGAACGAAGTCACCAAAAACAAATAGGATCAACTTTCATTTGCCTCACTCTCATTTTCAACTGGGTTTCCTAAATGTTTGTTTCTTTTTATGAATGACTAGGTTTCTAGGCTGATAAGATTATTGCTTCTTTCAGAACTTGAATGATGCTGCTTAACCATTGGCTGGCCTCCATGGCTGCTGATGAGAAGTCTGACTCCATTTATATTCTTGTTCCCCTGTCTTCTCCGTCTGGCTTTTTTTTTTTTTTTAACTTTTTATTTTTAAATCATTTACACTTAGAAAAAGTTGCAAAATACTAAGAGAGTCCATTTTTGGTTTTCACCTGGCTTCCCCTGATGTCTTGTATTACCACATCATAATGGCCAAACACAGGAAGTTACATTGTTACAGCACTGTTAACTAATCCAATACAGAATCTGAATTTTTCCAGTTTTCCCACTAATGTATTTTTCTGGTCCAGGCTCCAAGCTCCCATATTGTATTAGCCACCAAGCTTCCTTAGTCCCCTTCAATCCAGGACATTTCCCCAGTATTTCCTGCTCTTTGCTCCCTTTGACACTTCAGTGAAGTCTAGGCCGGTTACTCTGTAGTACGTCCCTTAGTCTGTGTTTGATGCTTTTTATCACTGCACTGAAGGATTTGGGACAAGAATACCACAGGAATGATGCTGTGCCCTCTCTGGGAGTCCTGTCTGTGGGCACACAATGTCAGTGTGTCTCATTATTTAAAAGGTTTGCTTTGACCACCTGGTTGAGGTGTTGTTGTCTGCCATGTTTATTAACCATAAAGCTGCCATTTTTATCTTTGTAACTAATACAAATTTCATGGGAAGTTACTTTAATTCTAGGTAAACATTCTGCTTTCATAATTTCACTCCGTCATCCATTAATGGTTTATTATTGTGGTGTTTGGTTAATAGTGATTTTCTATTTCCTTTTTTCCTTCTATAGCTGTTAATTGATATTATCCAGTAAAGAAAACTATCCTTTTGTCTTCCATTTTTTAAAATTTATTTATGGAAGTATGAACTCATGGGTAGATTTACTCCATGAGTTATGATCCAATATTTCCATTTTGTTACTCACATCCCAGACTTTTCTCCATTTAAGTTTTTTCTTTATTTTTGATTTTTAGCATCTTGACTATAAATTGACTAGGTGTTGTTTTCTTTACATTTATCCTGCTTGGGGCTTGACGAGACTCTTTGATATGTAAGTGATTTATTTTTTCCCCCAAAATAGAACACGTCCAGCCATCATTTCCTCAGGACTATTTTCTCTGTCCCTCCCTGCTGAAACTCCTTTATATATATCTAAGACTACTTGATATTGCCCACAGACTGCTAAGGCTCAGCTCACTTCTTTACCATTTTTTTT